TCGCCCTTAGCCTTAAGCACTTAGTATGGTTTATCTTTCAAATTTTCCTCTGCCATAACTCCTATTTTGGAGCATTAGTTATTACCTTAATTGTTTGGATGTGGAAAATTATTCTTTTGAATTTTTTCTGGCCACGCATTAGAACAATTTTGTTCTGCAGACCTTTAGACATAACTAGGATCATAAGCATTTGCCATCGCCTCTCTTATTGCATGCTGGCTCACATTTTTTCATAATTTTAATTATTGAATTATGTTGCCACGCCACTCCAACAAGCCAGTTTGGCTTTAGCTCATCCTTAGTTGTGCCACGCTAAAGGCTGCCATGCCATTCTCTTTCGGCCCATGCCAAATTTTAGTTTTTAAGTTTAGATTAGTTAAGCTTAGATTTTAAGTTTGGCCGCCTCGCCACTACCTTTTCTGGACTATGCATGCGTTAAAATTTTAGTTTTAAGTGTGCAGTCTTGCACTTTTCTTGGTCCATGCCAACTTCTAAATTTTAGTTTTTAAGTCAGGCCGCCTTGCCACTTTATTTTCCAGTTCATGCCACCTTTCAAATTCTAGTTTAGAGCTGTGCAGTCTTGCACTGTCTTTGGGTCACGCCAGTTTTTTGAAACTTAGATTTTAAGTTGTAAGCCTCGCCTTATCTTTTTGGTTACGCCAACTTTAATTTCTAGTTTTTAAGCTGTGCGCTACGCCTTTTCACTTTTGGTTTTCCCATCTTTAATTTTAGATTTCAAGTTGGGCGCCTCTCCTTCTTTCTTGGTTCTTGACAGTTTTTAATATTTTGATTTTAAGCTGTGCGCCTCGCCTCTTCTCCTCTGGTTTTTCCCATCTTTAATTTACGGATTTAAGTTGGGCGCCTTGCCTCATCTCTTTGGTCATACCAGCTTTAATATTTAGATTTTAAGTTGGACCTCCTCGCCTTATCTCTCCTGGGTTTTGCCAACTTTAATGTTAGGTTTAAGTTGTGCCGCCATTGCCTTATCTCTTTCTGGTTTTTCCCAATTTGAAGTTTTAGATTTTAAATTGGGCGCCTTTCCTTCTATCTTTTGGTTTTGCCAACTTTTAATTTTCGATTTTAAGTTGTGCCGCCTTGCCTTATCTCTTTCTGGTTTTTCCCAACTTGAAGTTTTGGATTTTAAATTGGGCGCCTTTCCTTCTATCTTTTGGTTTTGCCAACTTTTAATTTTCGATTTTAAGTTGTGCCGCCTTGCCTTATCTCTTTCTGGTTTTTCCCAACTTGAAGTTTTAGATTTTAAATTGGGCGCCTTTCCTTCTTTCTTTGGTTTTGCCAACTTTTAATTTTCGATTTTAAGTTGTGCCGCCTTGCCTTATCTCTGTCTGGTTTTTCTCAACTTGAAGTTTTGGATTTTAAATTGGGCGCCTTTCCTTCTATCTTTTGGTTTTGCCAACTTTTAATTTTCGATTTTAAGTTGTGCCGCCTTGCCTTATCTCTTTCTGGTTTTTCCCAACTTGAAGTTTTAGATTTTAAATTGGGCGCCTTTCCTTCTTTCTTTTGGTTTTGCCAACTTTAAAGTTTAAATTTTGAGTTGTGCCGCCTCGTCTTCTCTCTTTTGGTTTTGCCAACTTTAATGTTAGGTTTTAGTTGTGCCGCCTTGCCATTCCCGTGTATGTTGTTGGAACGCCTTTTAGTTGAGGAATTAATTTGTGTTTCCAAGATACCTATCATTTGAAAATTTTAATCATGCCTTATATCTGATCATGCTACTTTACCATTCTTAGTTTTAATTATGAGTTTCATATTGCAATTACCATTTACTTACTTAGGAAAAAAAAAAAAAAAAAAAAAAAAAAAAAAACAAAATCTTAGAAAACCCCAAAACATTCTTGCTGTCGCTTTATCTTTCTTGCCTTCAATTTTTACCTGGATACCCATAATATGCATTTCATTTCTCACATGCCGAGCTGCCTGTCCGAATGTAGGGGAGGCTCTCTCACTGTTATTGTCCGCGGCTTAAGCCGTCTCTTAAATTGATACTTTGAACTTTCATACCGCACATATTTTAGTAATTTAAGTTAATGCCATTATTTTCCTTGTTGTCTGCCATTATTGCCATGCCAGTAAATTAGCTCCATTTGCCATTAGATTTTCCAACGCCATATCTTTAGTTAAGTACATTCCTCGCCAGTTTTTTGCCACTAGCCTTAGCCATTACCACTATCAATTTAGTTTTGATTGAAAACTTTAAGAAAGCCACGCCACTTGCATGAGTCTTGATACAAACGCCAATTATTAGCCAGATAACCACGCAATTACATTACTTAATTAGATTCGCATGCCATCTAGTTTAGTTCAGTAGCCACGCTATAGTTTTTAGTTACTACGCCAAGGCATATAGTAAACAGTACTTATTGCCACGCCAAGAGTCTTAGAATTTTTTTGGTATTATTTACATTTGCCACGCTGCCTTTCTAAATTCTGAGCATTTCATACGCTGCAAATTTTGCAAAATTGCATACACCTAGTTGTTGCCTGCAAATTAGTCACGCCAAACAGTATTGGAGTTGAGTTTTCACCTGCCTTGAGCTAGATTAGAATTTTAATGGTCACTATTTAGGTACGCAATCTTAGTAGTCCATTGTTTCTTATCACTTCGAATGCCTTGAAACAAGTTTAGCCATTTCACACCAGAGAATTCACAATCACCTGGCGCTTATGTTTTATAGTAATTGCCTAGTTTTATGATTTTATTTTGGTTTTGATTTGATTTGCATGTTTCTCTCAACTTACAATAATCTTTCCATGCCTTTCTCTTCTCAATGTACATAAACTATGCAGTTTTGCCTCTGGCCTTCCTTCGATAACAAGAGTGTTCTTACGCCTTAACTATTTTGGGATTTTACGCATTCACCTTGTAAAATAGCACCGATTTCTGGCTTTCCTTCGCACAATTACTTATTGCCTTGCGGATTTTGAGTGAGTAGTGTAAATATTAGCCTGCTTGTTTGACTCTTAGTTACTAATTGATCGGTAAGTATGTCGGAACAAGACAGGTTCTACAATGCCAATGATTTCAACTCTTCGCCACTGAATATGAACATAGATCCAGATGCTGAATCAACGCCACTACAACTTGAGATGAATCTCGCAAATTTGGACCCTGCTCTGAGAGCACCTGTCGCCACTCGCCATCGCTACTACCAAGCTGTATTGAACATTTTGGAGGAATCTCGGACGCTGAATCCTGAAAATTACTTCACTTTCGCACCCCAGATGCAAGAATTAAGCCGCCTTGCCCACGAATTTGATGTTTGGCAGTGTGAAATCACCCGTCTCAACCTGAATGTGGAGGAAGCAGATGCCGAAGCTGACACCGCAAACATTCAACGAAATTTTGATCGTGCCATGAAGTTAGCTCGCTTGCCATACTTAAAACTTTCAGAGGAAAATCGTCGACAGAACGAGACAAAATCTCAGCAGGACCAGCAAACCTTGTTATCATCTATTTCTGCCGCCGTCGCCGCCGCCACTTCTTCAAATTCTAGCCTTTTGCAGACCAACGCCGTGAGATCCGCCTTCAAATTGCCGCCACTTCAGTTGCCAAAATTCGATGGAACTTTGTCGGACTGGCAAAACTTCAAGGCTAGATATGAAGCTGCAGTTCACAACAATCCAAACTTAGGAGTTCTCGAGAAATTTCAGTTTTTACTTGCGCAGCTGAGTAACGAGCCACTGAATCGCATCAAAGGATTGCCGTTGGAGCCGAGCAGCTACGCTGAAGCCTGGAATTTGTTGTGTGAACACTATGACAGCGATAAGCGACATCTTGCCTCCCATTTCTCAGCACTGGCTGAATTGCCAGATCTAAAACAGCGAAACGAGATTCCTCCTTTTTTAGCAAAGATCCAGGAGCATCTCCATGCCTTACGCGCACTGAAACAGGACTTGACCGTTATTGGACCGGCTCTCGTCATGCCAATTCTGAAGCGGTTTTCAGAAGAAATCATGGGGAGATTTGAGGACCAACGAGAGGACTGCAAGAAATTCGCAACTCTAACGGAGATTGAGGATTTTCTGAAGTCCGAAACAGTGAAGTTGTTGGACTCATCAACCGCCGTCGCCCCGCCTACGCAAAAATCCACGCCGTCAGCAGCTAAGATTTTAGTCACGAGCTCGGAAGCCACGCCAGGGAGTCAGAAACCAAAACCGAAAAATTCTTCAAATTCCAAGAAAAATAAAAATTCTTCAAACCAAACTTCTGAACAAAGCCAGTCATGCCAATGCTGTGTAAGCACAAAGCCCAGTACAGACGCCTCCTCATCTCACCAGAACTCGCCGAGAATCAACCCAGCATCTGGCAGAGCGTACTATTGTCAATGGTGCGAAGAAAATCACCCCTTGGTGCAATGTGACAAAATAAAATCTTTGACCGTCGCCCAACGCCGTACCCAAGTTAAAGCTGAGAGTAGATGTTGGAACTGCCTGTCCGTCAAACACCACTCCCGGTTGTGTCCCAGTACAAAACGATGTTTGCATCATCCGACAGAGAAACACAACACGCTCTTGTGCGAACATGTTCCTGCCGGAACCAGCCCCACGCCCGCCGTCGCCCAGACAGTTCCAGCCACAGCTCCTTCAGTAAACGCCGCGGTCAGCAGTTTCTCGCGACACCCTGGAGCCGACCCAACCATCTGCGTTGCCAAATCGCCGCCAACCGTAAATCTCCTACCTACCGCATTGGTTCAACTCCGAGCGGCATCCGGCTACAGCGTTACCGTTCGAGGTTTGATAGACTGCGCGGCTACTCATACAGCGCCGTCACTTCTAAATGCGCCGAATTTTTGAAGCTCTCAGCAGAAGGTGAATCTTCGACAATTAGAGGTTTCGCTGCCACGCCGGTCAGAATTAAAGGAAAAATACACGCTGATATTCTTTCAAGATTTGGTCAACCTTTTGCGCAAAATCACGAATGGATAGTAACGGATAAAATTACTACGCAACTACCAGCAGCTCCTGTAACTGAAAGGCTCAGAGTCATGTTCGAAGAAAACCTATTAGCGGATCCGGAATTTCACACGCCAGCCGATATTGACGTTCTCATCGGAGTAGACCTGTTTGCAGGATTATTTTCAGGGGAAGCTCACACCACGCAAGAAGGAACGGTGCATGTGAAAACATTTTTTGGAATTGTCTTCGCTGGCCCCGCTGCTCTTCAACTGCCAAGCCAACAGCCAAGTTTTCAACCAGTAATTTCCGCCTTTATAGACGCCGAGTTGCCAGGACTAAGCCAACAATTTGATCGATTTTATGAAGCAGAAGCCGCCGCATCTACAATTTTATTTTGTGCCAATACAGAATTCTCTCAGCAGCCACGCCCTCTCGTAGAACCTACAATTAACGCCGCAACGCTTCCCATTCCGGAACATTTTGAAAGATTTTGGGCCCTTGAAGAATTTGCTCCAAAACCGCATTTAACGCCAGACGAAGTATATTGCGAAGAATTTTACAAGCAAACAACCACACAGCTAGACAATAAGCGTTATCAAGTTCGCTTACCATTCAGACCTAACCATCCGCCTCTTGGAGAATCACGCTCGCAAGCTGAAAAACGTTTTGTCGCCTTAGAGAAGAGATTGGATCGAGACGCCGTTTTTGCGGAACAATATAGGAAGTTTATGAAAGATTATGAAGACGCCGGTCACATGATTCCAGTGACAGCCCCATCGCCCACAGACAGCTTTCAAGGATATTACTGCCCTCATCATGGTGTACTCAAAGAATCCTCTTCTTCCACAAAATTGCGAGTAGTATTCGACGCCTCTGCCAAAAGCAGCACTGGATTATGTCTGAATGATATTTTGTTAAATGGACAAAAATTACAAAAAGACATACGACATGTGCTCCTCCATTTCCGACGCCATCCAATTGCAATTTCCGCCGACATACGCCAGATGTATTTGCAGATTGAGCTCCATCCTGATGATTGGTTTTATCAACTGATTTTGTGGAGAAAGGACAAAAACGAACCTATACTCACTTACGCCCTCGCAACAGTCGCCTTCGGAATCAAATCCTCGCCGTTTCACGCCCTTAGAACCTTAAAGAAATTAGCCCAAGATTTTGGTCATCGTTTTCCAAAAGCAGCCGCAATTATTCTAAACGCCACCTATATGGATGATATTCAATTTGGAGCAAGCACAGAAGAAGAAGCACAAGGATTAATTGAAGAATTAATCGGTCTCCTGGCTTGTGGTGGTTTTACGATGCACAAATGGTTCTCCAGCCACCCGCAAGTTTTGTCTACACTACCAGCCGAGAAGTTGGAAACGCCAAAGCTGAAATTTTCGCAGGAAGAAAATCCTTGGTTTTCCGTATTAGGCATTCAATGGGACGGGAAAGGGGACGAATTTTCGTATGAAGTCAATTTCCGCCCGCACGCCGAGACAAAACGTGGAATTTTATCAATGATCGCCTCGATTTACGACCCGAATGGTTGGCTAGCTCCGGTCATTTTCAGAGCTAAATTATTCGTGAAAGCCTTGTTTCTGCTAAAACAGCCATGGGACGCCGTAGTACCATTGGAGATGTCGCAAAGGTGGAAGGAATTTTTCACTGAGTTACAAGAAATACGCCAAATTAGAATTCCACGTTGCCTTCCTGCGCCCAACGCCTCTCACTATGAACTCCATTGTTTTGTAGATGCCTCTCAGAAAGGATATGGATGCGTTTTGTATTTGCGCTCTTCGCCGTCGCCAGATAGCCCTGCAACCTCGGTTTCGCTGATTATGTCTAAAACTCGAGTCGCCCCAATCACGCCTGTAACTTTGCCACGCCTGGAACTCTGCGGAGCTCTACTTGCAGAAACCTTGCTTCGCGCCAATCTGCACATCTTGCATGATCATTATGATGCTGCCAAAATCCATTGCTGGACAGATAGTACAATAGTCCTTCATTGGATAAACACGCCTCCTCATGAGCTACAAACTTTTGTGGCGAACAGAGTTGCGAAAATTCGCGAGCTGGATCACTTAATCACCTGGCATCATGTCCGGTCGGAGGACAACGTTGCTGATTTGTGCTCGAGAAGCATCGCCCCTGCTGATATCGTGCATAATGAATTTTGGTGGCACGGACCTGCATGGCTCACAAAACCGGATAAAGAATGGCCCACGTTCTCGCCTTTGCCAACGCCTAACACTGCAGATTTGGAGCTGAAAAAATGCATCGCTATAGAGCTAGTAAGCACCGCCGAGCAAGTAACGCAACAGCCTACACCAGAGGAAGAATCAGACGCACGCATGGAATACGCCTTAACCCTCATCAGCAAAAATGATAGCGAGCTTTCTAAGCTTCAAGCCGACTACGAATCCCTCATGGGGGGGAGCTGACTAGTAGCCAACACCACGCCTTTTAACGCCTAATCAATGCAATCTCTTGCCTTTTAAACGCCTTTTACACCACTTTAACGCCTCATACATGTAATTTTTCCTTTTTCAGTCTTTGAGTTTGGAGCCTTTTCCGCCGTCGCCGTGTAGCCTCCGTAGTTAAAATGACTTATCGTCATTTTAAGGGGGGGAGAATGAGCGCGCCGCCTTGGGGAGGGGGGAGAGAGGGGAAGATGCATCCAGCAAACGCTACGACTTTTTGCCCTCTAGCGGGGGTTGACAGAAACACGCACTTTTCGGGAGCCTCAGGAACCGGTAGCGACCCGGAGACCAGTCCTGCCTCGTCGCTTCCCAGCTCATCACCATTCCTCTCTTCCTAGTCCCGTTCCAGTTTCGCCAGCGCTTCGACTTGCCCTTCGCTTTCCTCAGCCACTGCGCAGTCACAGCTTTAGCCTTGCCTTTTTGGATTTTTGCTCTTCCAGCACCTTGGTCTTTTTCTTTGCTCATTTTTTCTCATCAGCATCCTGGTAAAGTTTATGATTTGCTTTCCACTCTCTCTCTCTCTCATTTTCTTTAGTTTTTTAGCTATCACTCGAGACAGCACTTTGACGAGTGAGTAGTTCTGTTTTCTTTTACGCGCAGTCGCAGGTGTTTTGTGTTCTCATTCTCCCTCATTTGCATTACGCCGTCGCCGTGTAGTTAGCTTACGCCTTCGCACACTTGTGATGAGTTTTGAGTTATGTTTTTACGCCGTCGCCACGCCTTTTAGTATGCCTAGCTAAGCACCCCATTTTGAGCCGCGGACATGTGAGTTTGCCATGGGGCTTCCGCCCCCCTACGCCTTGGACTTGGCCAGCCGCCATCCATTCTAGCCTTATTATCAGCATGTGAGTAGTTGTTGTATATTTTGCGGGGGGTATCCAGGTTAGGTTTAGTTTTCTCTTTCTCTAGTTTGCCATTTTCCTTCTTCTCTTAGGTTTTTCGCCCTTTTACCCATAAAAGGTCGTGGTCCCTCGTGCCATTTTCTCTGCCATTTAGCCAATTTCTTCTCTTTCCTTCATTTCCTTCTCATGCCATTTAGAGGGTCGGATAGGGGCCGCAGTCCCCCCGATTTTCGACTTTCCTCAAGTTGAATGCAAAACTTAAACGAAGGTTGAATGAATAAAAGTTTACGAAAGTTTTTTTTTTTTTTAAAAAATTAGGTTCACGAAGTGAAATACCACGGAGGTCACGAAGTGAAATACCACGGAGATTAAAATTACGAGAAACCACAAAGGTTGGTTAAAATTCGAAATACCACTAAGGTTGTAATTTGAGTAATAGGTAATGATGCCACACAGGCTGAATTTGATTTTCATCAAAATTACAAGTCCGAATAAAATTTAAAATACCATGAAGGTTTAAGATCCGTAAAAAAAAAAAAAATTAAATGCCACGAAGGTCTAATTGTAAATCAGAAAAATTTGCACATGAGTTCGAGAGATCCTTGAATGAATAAAAGTTCACGAAAGTTCAAAAAAATTAGTCCACGAAGTGAAATAAAATACCACGAAGGTTAAAAAGTTACGAAATACCACTAAGGTTGTTCCGAAACTTCAAAAAATAAAAATTAAGTCCTCAAAGTGAAATAAAATACCACGGAGGTTAAATGAATATAAGTTCACTAAAGTTCAAAAATTAAGTCCACGAAGTGAAACAAAATACCGAGATACCACGAAGGTTTTTCACGAAAATTGAGATACCACGAAGGTTATTCACGAAGGTTCAAAAATCAAACTTAAGTCCACGAAGTAGAATACCACGAAGGTTAAATTACCACGAAGGTTGAAAAATACGAAATTAAAGCAAAATAAGAGTTTGCAAATTAGGCCCGGATATTGACAAGATCCGAAATATAAAACAAAGTTCGCCACTAAGGTCCGAAATTCACACCACGGAGGTATGATTTAAAAGTTTGAAATCTGCCACAAAGATCCGAAATTCACACCACGGAGGTATGATTTAAAAGTTTGAAATCTGCCACAAAGGTCCGAAATTCACACCACGGAGGTATGATTTAAAAGTTTGAAATCTGCCACAAAGGTCCGAAATTCACATTCAAAAAGTTGTCAATTGTTACTTTGCCACACAGGCCAAATACTACAAGTCCACAAAGGCACGCACACACTATAAGAACCACATAACGAGACAACCACGCTCTGCTACCATGTTAATAAGATTTTAAGGATCTTATTGGTTCTTATTAAAGACAACTTCATTTTCATAGTGACTTATTTATTAAACTTACATCCACAAAGGACGACCACATAGGAATACAGCATTATTCAGAGAGAGATCTGAGACAAGTTTAGTGAGCAAAAACTGAAAGTGCTTCTTTATCATGCAAATCAAGTAGGTAATCATACTTATAAGATCTAGAACAGATGATAACGGTGATACGGTGATATTCCAACAAATGCTCTAATCTTTTTGAACAAAAAGGACTTAACTCAGAATGCGTGCTTTTAAGACCCAAAACTGAGTCTCCAACCCCCGAAAGTAGCAGTGCTAACAACGCAGCAACAAAACCTCCAATTTTAGAGGAAAAAACTTTATGTGCAACATTAAGTGCAAATATGGATTTAGGTAATCTTGCTCAGCAATCTTCCAAAGAAACTTCCACAGCTCTGGAAACAAACACACAACCTACATCTCTGGATCAATCAGGATGGCGTATTGTCACTAGCAAAAGGAAAAAGTGTTTATCTACAGATTCACCTAATAAAAACAACAAACCGCCTAAAAAAGTGCAACGTACGCAGAATGTGAAGAGAAAAATAGTTTTCTCAACCTCAAATAATGCTGTAATTAATAACAGTGAAAACCCTCTTTCCAAAAACCAATTTCAAGTGCTGCAAACAGCCCAATCTGAGGAATCAAACAAAATGAAACCATCTCTCCCCCCTCCACTTTTTGTATCGGAAGTAGGAAACCCTATTGTCTTCAAAAAATCTATTATTGATGTGTTAGTCAATAATTCTAAAATTCATGTGATCAATAAATCACAAGTTAAACTAGTTGTCCAAACTAAGGAAGATTACTATACCCTTTTTAATTATTTTAAAAATAATAATATAAAATTTCATAGGTAATCAGGCAATTTATCATTTTCCCTCTTCTGCTCAGATCTTGGTTGAGACATCTTAGCATTATTATAGTGAAATGTTGTGATATTGCTCAAATTTTGAGTTCATCGAAAAATATTGGACTTTGTGCGATAAAATATTTCATATTGTTTTGAAGCACATAGAAGCGCATTGGTTGAGACATCTTAGCATTATTATAGTGAAATGTTGTGATATTGCTCAAATTTTGAGTTCATATTCAATAATTAGTTACCCGCATTCTTGATCGTGTAGCTATTCCCTAAGGAGTTGACAAAAACACGATTTCTCCGTTCCATACTCCATTGAAAACGAGTTAGGATATTTAATGAGCACTTACCTAATGTAGATGATCAACCTAACCGCGGAATATAGTGAATTTATTAATGCGGGCATAGTTTTCGTGAACGTAGTAAATTCAGATAAGAGAAAACCTATGAATCTCCTACAATTTCGAGTGATACCTTATACCTACTAAGGAATCTAGAATAGTTGCTCGCTTCAATTCCCCCTGTTAAGACGTATGATATTGCGTTTTCTTTATGTCAGTGTCGCGAGAAGCACGCGATATTTCCAACGGAAGTGTTAAATCCTGAGAAATTACGCGTTATTACCACGGAATTGCATGAAATAGGGTTTTTTTCCGTCCCAATTTTGCAGGAAAAAATGAGAAATCACGCGAGAATCACCGCAATATCGCGGGTAATAGTCAATTGATCCACACATTTCGTGAAATGACTAAATATTACGCTTTTTTCGCCTCGATACGACGTGGAAGTGAATTTACAGCGGTTTTTGAGAAACATTTGAGATCCCACAATATTCACCTCCGTCGCGAAAAATACGCAAATAGATGCAATCATAATTCATGGAGAAGAAAAGCTATCAATCTTCTAAAATCCTCTCATTTTATGTTAAAAAAATAAATTAAAAATTGGCAACACTGCTACGGAGAGATCAAGATGGTGTTTAATAGCAATTCTTTACCATTTTAGGGTAGAATTCAGCCTACAGACCGTTGCACTACTCTCTTAAGTTATGAAGCACCGGACTGTTAGTTCAAAATTCCTTCACTGTTGCGCATAAAAATTCATCATTGGCAATCGAGTAAAGCCTAAACGCGGAGTCAATTCAAGTTGAAACTTTCCTTGATAATATGCTTGATCAAAACCTTTCGTTTCAGACATATCTCACTGATGACCAACTCGGGTATACAGAAGTACGTGCGAAACTTGGCGAGGCCCTTTCATGCCGACCGTTCGGCGTCTGGGCGGAAAATTTCACACTGCTCTTGAAAAATCTGTATTATATCAGAGAGAATTCGGCAACATCAAATTACACATGCGCGAGGTTTTTCGCGGCATGACTACGTATAGTAGTGTACCGAAAGAGACTTGGAGCCTTGAAAGTCCTATTCATCGAAGTTGCAGAAATTGGGTTTGTAAATTCAATATTGGGGCCGGTGAGGCCACTTCAAATCGATTCATACTTCCAGCTGATCCGGGGAGTATGTTTACTTGCGAGACCAAACTGAATCCAACTTGACTCAATTTCGAAAGATTCATCAGCTTTGTCGCCGATCAAGATTATGAAAATTTGACTTATTCCATTTCAGTGAAGACACTTTTTTTTTCAAATGAGCCGGAAGTACATTTTTTTAATATATATTTCATCAGGAAACTCATCAAATTGCTTTTCTCGAAGTTGTCCGTGAATTTATCTTCCTCTCAAAAAAAAAAAAAAAAAAAAAAAAAAAAAAAACTCCAGCCGTGAAAGCCGTACTTACGGAGTATACAGACATGCCAGCGGCGTTCCGTGCTCAGAGGCTGAAAGTTCCGGGCCTAGCACCCGGAGCAATCG